GATATTCAGTTAGATGGGAAAGGCAGCATGTATATAATGTATTAGGTAAGGTCATTGCTCATTGGGAACTAATGGGATATATTGGAGATTACAAGACCATTCTATATTCATTCACTGGCTTAATTAACCAGGATTCGAAATAGGAGAGTACCATGTCATTTCTTTTCAGGTGTAGGGGATGTTGTACCTGTATATTTTTTTTGAAAATAGGTAATGGTTGTACCTGTATATTGAACCTAAGATTTTGGTGTCTTCGCACCTTCTCCAAAGAAGACTAGCCACTAGGCTAGTAGGTGCTGGACCACTCATTCAAAAAATAATAAAGTAAAAACATGCCCAAGATTGTCTTTATAGACAAGATCAAAATTTCTGACACAAAATTTTAAAAATATTATTATTTAATTAAATTTATGTTTTATAAAATAAATTATATATGAAAAATATAGTTTATTTTATAAATTTATTAAAATATTTTAAATAAAATAACATAATAAATCATATTATTTAAAATATTTAAGAAATTTAAAAATATTTTAAAAATTTTATAAAATAAATTATATTTTTAATATATAATTTTTTTTTTGAAAAAAAAAGGAACCCTTTTTTCATTTTTTAACATGGGCAATTGAGGGTAGAAGAGATGAAGCGGGATGGGGTGAACCCCCAACTGAAGTGCGAACTCACCCTCATCGTAAGGGATACTAGGCCACTTGGTGGTTGGCCATGAATATATTATAGTAAAACAAACTAGTCATTGTCATTCCATAGACGTTCGATCTTCAAGCAAAGGGTCAAAATGTGCCCGCGGCATAGTGATCACTCCTTGAGAAAATCATTTTTTGTGGTTCTTTAAAGCAGAAGACTCTCGACGTCTTAAAAATCTTCATCTTCAATTCAAACCAGCTGAATTTTCGTTCCAAGCCGCACACTAATTAACAAGATTTTTCTATCATAACCGCCCCCCACATAAGACGCTGCTGAGTGAATGCGAGGGCCAGAAAGCAACCCCTCAGAAACTGTGGCAGACGCAACTCCACGCCATATGTTAACAAACGAGTCCTTGACCACTTGTGTGAATGTGTTCAACTTTAGATTCGCCGTCAAAAAAACCAAGCAGAAATTAGACGCCTCTTACCTCTGATATTTTTTATCTATGAAAGAGCTTTTTGTTCTGTAGTTTTTTATCCCGTTCCATCTGAATCACATTGCTTTCTCCATCACTTCTCTCAACTTGCTGTTTGCTTGGCTGTTATTTCCTCTTCAAAAAATATTATTTTTGTCTTTGTTTGGTTTGTAACACATTATAATAAATATTAATTAGGATCAACCTACACCTGTAAGTGTAATATTACATTAAAAAAATTTCAGTCAAACTTAATTTCGAATATTTCTAACGTAGGCTTTTTTTTTTAAAGAAAAATTAATTAATTAATTAATTGAGTACAAAGGGTACTCAAACTGGTTTACACACACCAAGGTAGCTTTATTGCAAAAAAACAGAGGCTTTGGACAATTATAGAACTCACAGAAAGCAACTACCTTAACTTGGTTATTTACTACATTAAGAGGCCTTGGATTTAGAATCCAATTGGATAATGAGTATCTCCAATCCTTCTCTCTATTTCTTAACCATTGATAAGTCTTCTTTGGAATAAAATTGAACATTCTTTTAGCATCAACTGATTTGTTTTTGAAAATTCTTTCATTTCTAGCTTTCCAAATTGTCCATACCGTTGCAAACCACACAGCTTCTCATCCCATCTTCATTTTTCCTTTGATCATCAACCCATCATGTTGCTCAAATGCATCCCATACATTTTTTGCTGCTACAGTTTTTACTTCCCACCAACTATAACAGCATGCCCATATCTGGGAGGAAGTTTTACAATGCAAAAACAAGTGGCTATTGTCCTCAACATATTCATCACACAAGGAGCAAGTAGTTTCTTTGGTATTTTTTAGAATCCCTCTTTTAAGTAAATTAACCTTAGTTGGCAACCTATCAATAATTAATTGCCAAACAAATCCACATATTTTCTGAAGGGTGACAAGATTCCATACCTTTTCGTAGATTCTTTTGTGGGGCGCGTTTTCGTTGCTAACTAGTCTTACATATCCTAAGCTTCAGGAATATGTTTCGCTAGAATTGAATTTCCACCTCCATAAGTCTCTTTCTTCTTGCTACAACATTGTGTTCTGTAGAATGTTGTCCAATTCCTTCGCCTTGTCTTTTTCCCATGTGTGAAGCTCTCATCTCCATTGGAGATTCCACTTCCATAATCCTTTTTCCTAGCTTCTCATTTGGTTCAGCTTGTTGTCTTTGCCTGTAGAGAGTAAATATAATCTTGGAAATATGTCAGCTAGCTCTCTAAAATTCCTCCATTCATCCCTCCAAAAACTAAAGCTTCTTCCCTCGCCTACAACGATCTCAAAACCTTCAAACCGTTATCTACTTCGATTTTGCTCAGCTACATCTATTCTACATACATCTTGCCACCAACTCGATCCTCTCCCCTTGCCCTTTCTAACCCAATTTTCCTAATTTTTGTCTCCACCACTATATTTTTCTTTAATAACTGATAAGCACAAACTCTCTTTTCTCTTTGCCAATCTCCCCCACCATTTACCTAGTAAAGCAAGATTAAAACATCTAAGGTTTTTAATTCCTAATCCCCCCTCCTTTTTACTTTGGCATATCCTCTTCCACTTTACCCAATGAGTTTTTTTTTTCCTTTCCCCACAACCCCCCAAAGAAAATCCCTCCTAATTTTATCAAGAATTTTTAAAATATATTTTGGGACGAGGTAGATGGACATAAGGAAAATTGGGAACGATGAGAGCACAGACTGCAACAGTGTGATTTTTCCACCAAGAGATAGCCATCTTCCTTTCCAAGTCATCAATTTTTTTCAAAGTGCCTCAATGAATGGTTGCCACAATTCCCATTTCCTATGATTTCCCCCAATCATCACCCTGAGATATTTGAATGGAAGTTCACCTATCTTGTAGTGCATAAAGTAAGCCATTTTATTTAACCATTCTTCCTCGACATGCATTCCGATCAATTGGCTTTTAATGAAATTAATTTTGAGGCCTGACACAAGCCCAAATAACCTCATAATACATTTAGTAGCCCATACATTTTGTTCAGTAGCTTTCCCAAACATGATAGTATCGTTTGCAAATTGCATATGAGAGAATCTCACACCATTTTGTCCAACCTCAATTCCTTCAAATAACCCTTTTTCAACTGTTGACTTAATTATTCCATTGAGGCCTTCAGCAACAACAAGGAACAAGAATGGAGATAAAGGGTCGCCCTGTTTCAGTCCTTTAGACACTTCAAATTGTCTAGAAGGGCTTCTGTTAACTATAACTGATAGTGAGCTTGTTCACAAACATTCGTTGATCCAGCCTCTCCATTTGGTTCCAAAATCGAGTCTCCACAGCATGTAGTCTAGAAACTTCCAGTAGACCTTATCATATGCTTTCTTGAAATCAACCTTCAGCAAGAAACTGTCCTTTCTTTTCTTCCTATCTTCATCGAAAATCTTGTTAGTGAGTACCACCCCTTCAGTTAGCTGTCTTCCCTCTAGGGATGCCATCTGTTGCTCACTTATCACCTATGGGAGGACCACTCTGATTTTGTTAGCTAATATCTTGGCAATGATTTTGTACATAGCCTCAATCAATGATATTGGCCTATATTCTTCAATTTTTTGGGGATCGGATACCTTTGGAATCAAAGTAATGAAGGAAACATTTGATCCTCTACTTAATTTTCCATTCTTTTGAAACTCCTAAGCAAACCCAATCACATCTTCCTTTGTCTCATGCCAAAATTCCTTGAAGAATCTGAAGTTAAACCTGTTTGGGACCTAGAGATTTGTCACTACTGCATTCCCACATCGCTGCCTTTACTTCTCCTTCGTTGAATGGCCTGATTAGTGCTGTATCTTGCTCAACTGAGATCTGTCTAAATGTCACACCATCCAGAATTGGTCTTTGCTAGTCATCCTCTTTAAATAACTCTTTAGAATAATTGGCAATACCTTCTTTAATCTCTTGAACTTTTGTTAGTTGCCTACCTTAGATCTGCACAGTGTTGATTTCCATTTTTTGGTGTCTACTTTGGATGCTTCGATGGAAAATTTTTGTATGTGCATTGCTATCTTCTAACCACTCTTTCCTTGCCTTTTGCTTGAGCATGCCTTCTTTGATTTTCACATTTTCCCATAGCTCCTGCGTTATACCCTTCGTTTCTACAATTTCTTGGTTAGTAAGTGCCTTTGTTTTTGCTTTCAAATCCAAGTTTGCAATTGCCTCCTTGCTCTTTTGAATCTTCACATCAATGTGGGACATTTCCTTCTTGCTCCATTCCTTTGCTTTAGCTTTCACCATCTTCAATTTCTCTTTCAATTGGTATCCCTTCCATCCTACAATTACATTATCTTTCCATGTATCCGCCACTAGCTTCCTGAAGCTCTTCTGATTTAACCATACATTAAAGCATTTAAAAGGTTTAGGTCC